GGGGGAGGACCTTGCCGGTAGTAGTCTTTGTGTCACCAAACACCTTCATGTGTTCCTTGCCCTTGGTGATAGCAACTTGCTATACCGCCCGCACATTAACATCTGCTTTGGGGGAAAATGAAAATATAAGCTGCACGCACCTCGCGCTTGAAGAAGGCGTTCGACATGAAGGCGGAACCAGATGACTTTCTGCAGTTTTTGCAGTGACAGACGAAGTAAGTGAAAGGCTCCCCGGTTATCGTAAATAGCTTTGTCCCACTTGTTGTCTGCGTCCAGAGGCAGCAGCTGTGTGAAAATCTGCTCCAGAAGTTCCGGCGTGTCAAGCACGCTGGCTGATGCTCCGTTGAGAGAAGTCATGATGCGCGTGTGTCGTTGAGGAGAACGATAGTAATAGGTGGTATTACTGGTATTGGCTCTCAGATGGCGATTTCGTGGTAACAGAGTTTCAAAGCACTGGTAAGGTTTCACGAGATTACAGCTTGCTTTCCCACAAGTCACAAAATGCGTACTAAATGCTCACTGCTAGTATTCAAATCCCTCCCGCTTGATTTTATTCTTCTCAACACCCAACTCCTCCAAGGCGGCCATGAGAGACACCTCGAACGGGCTAGGTCCACAGATGTACACCTCCCTCGTACCCGGATGATCCCCTCCATCCTCAAACACCCCCTTCGTGACACGGCCGACATGCTTCCGCAGTTCAGCACCCTCAGCTTTCAAGTCCACAGAAGCTTTCGTCGAGAACAAGTCGATCACCAAACGAGGCTTCTGCTTGAGCTCGCGAAGAGCATCCTCGAGCAGAGGAACGAGCACCTCCGGCTCACGTGTAGACAATACGAGTCGTATATCATACGCCGAGCTCCTTAGTCCACGGAGCATCGCCAGGAACGGTGTGACTCCAATTCCGCCGGCAACCCATAGCAGGCGGGTGACAGGTTCAGGTTGCTCGTGCGGCACGCGAATACCACGCCCATCACCCAGCGTGTCCGCTTCCTGAGGTGCGGGTAACACGAACTCTCCCGTGATGCCCACCACCCCGACGCTTAGAGCAAGCGGGCGTGAGTCGCCGAGCAGCTCTGGCTTCACCTGTGCCAGTTTGTGTGCAATGGAAAACAGGGCGCCCGTTACAGCCCCGCCTGGCTTCAGGCGCATTGTGAGTGAATACGAAGAGGACGAGTGGGCGGAGACGGTCCATGTGCGGATGTAGTCGTCGTTGACGGAGGTAGGCTTCATTGGTGCCATGTGCTGGTACTTGCGTGTGCCAAGGAGGGGCGAGAAATCCATGATCGCAGCCTGCCCGGGCACGATGGGGAGCGGCGAGGAGGTCTCCCAGGTGAAGGTGGCGATCGTGGCGCTGTGGAGGGCGATGCGCGTCAGGGTAGCGGTAACGGCGTTGGCGTCTTGGAAGTGAGTTGACTGAGGTGTCTCCTCGGCCAGGAGGCGGATGGGTGGGCTGTAGGGACTCGGCTGGGCAACGGTGTTGGGCTTCTGGCGCACGGGAAGCGCGTCGGCGACGTAGATGTAGCCGGTGACATAGACCGTGGTGAGGCCGTTCTGGAGGGGCATGATCTGTTGGGCGTCGTGGTTGAAGTGATTGGCCGCCGTTCCCGTGAGATAGAGTATATCGCCCGTGGTGAAAGAGACAAATGTGAGAGAAGCCAAGGGCGTGGCCTCGATATTCCCGAGCGAAGTCATAAATCGGTTTCCTGCAAAGGAGTCGTCAGACAAGAGTAAGAAATCTTATGAGAACACGCACCTGAAAAGTCGGGAAGGACGATTGTTCGCCCATCGGAAGGCATGACACGAATAAAACCCTTGCGACCCCCTCGCTGATTCATGCCGAGGTGCGAAGGATAACGCGCAGCCTCATCCTCGTGTGCTTGATATGTGGTACCAATGAACACGGTGTCATTCTCCTGAATAAAGGCTATAACATCGGCTGGGAGTCGTTCGCTCGGATCCAGGTGTAGCTCATTGTGAATAACTTTCGGGGAGGTGCCTGGATGGGGAACAAGGTCGCGAGCATTGATATATTTGGGGCAGTTCCTAAGATTCCCGGTTAGACAGAATTTGAAGAGCAAAATAACAGTACAATACCCAATTGCTTCATCAACGAAAAGGTCCAAGTGGAAGAGGTCGCCGTCCCTTTCCAACTTCTTCACCTCCCCAGCGAACTTGTTCCTCCGGCGCGTCGGAAACTCGATCCCAATTCCCGCCACAAGCATCGAGCCATCCTCTTCATACACCTTCGCGTTCTCAATCAGGGGCTCCCCCGGCCAGACCTTTGCGTCAACCGACAAGACGCTGTACCGCGTATTCCGGACAAAGCCCGGCTTCCCCTCCCGTCCAGCAAGAATCGAGCCCCAGGGTCGCCCCTCCGCATCCAGCGTTGCTGCGGGAATGAACGGCAGACGAGTCGAGTGGAAAGTAGCATGGTCGCCTGGAAGATCCCCACCGATACTCCGATACAGTGTCATGATAGTGTAGTCTTTTTCGTGTCCAAGCTTCTTATGGACCAGCTGTTCGCCCCTGTGCCATCCATTGAGCGTCATGGTGAATGGTAGGACGACAACGGTGGCTGCAAGAGTATTCGTCGTCAGTTTGAAATGCGAAACCCGGGTTTGCGCACCTTTGAATGTGTACCCGTATCCGAGCGAGCAGGCTCAGTCAGCAGCGTGAATCATTGCGTCAGATTGACGATTCCGGCTCTGCAGAAGGATAAAGCCATTATAATCCCATACGAATAGATTTTCAGCTTCCATAGAGCGAGCAGAGATTGAGAAACTTGTGGCAGAGGTTTGACAGAGGTTCAGCAAGTTCAAAATAGAAGCAATTTGTGACGTGGGAACTCAAGCTGTAAAGTCTGTTAGTGTTTACACTTAGAGAAATCGTACGTGCTTGCGTAGTGATGATTCAATGAGCTGGTCCTGGAGGATTGCCATTTAAATTGATGAAAGGATTATCATACTATGTGGTTGTACAGGAAATAGTATCTGCACCCTTCTGAGCCTCCTCGAGATTCCATGCGTCGTCACCTTCCATCTGTGGCCGGTAATGCAAGGCCCAAATCACAGACAGTTCCCGCTCCCAAGTTCAAAAGGAGGTAGAGTAGCTGGCTCCTGCATGAAGCTACTTACAGGATGACCACGGTCGCGGTGCCATTGGTCCGCAGAACGCCGTCGAAATCGTATGGCTGTGCTAGAGGTACCGTTTCGCGTAGTGTGAGGCGCACCTGCGTAGTGATCATTTATGGATGCCGCGGAGGCGTACTAAGCCGCAAGCGGAGCACCAGATGTTACGTCAGGAAGCGCTGTATACTCAATGAGCAGACTATATATTGGACTTAGAGGTGGGCGGACTTACCCCGCCGTGGTTTTGCAGCAGTCGACCGAAGGGCAGAGGAACCAGAGTGGCTGAATTGTTCCCGCAGTCAAACCACGCCTCATGCACTTCGTTGTGCCCTACACCTTCTCCCTTTTGCTCTCCACCTCCGCCTCCCACAAAATTCCCCGCACATACGTCCTCACCGCCCTCGCCCACCCAGGACGATTCCATGCGTTCTCATGGAGCGCACCTGGTATCTCCACAAGTTGCGTGCGTGTGTCCTCAGGCCCACCATGTACTGCTGTTCCACGTGTCGGCCAGGCGTTCGAGCCCATAGCAGCGCGTACGATCTGCGCACCCATCTCCGGCGGAACAACCTCGTCGTGTTCGCTCACGAGCACCAACATCTTCTTGGAGAGCCTCGAGAGAGCTGTACGTCCCTCCCGCTCCTGAGTTTGAAGCGCACCCAACGCGTCCCACCGATCATACACGAACGACTGGAGGTGGCGGTAGGGGATCCAGCGCTGTGGGTACAGCGCGACGAGCATCCCCGGTATCGACGCGAAGGGGTTCTCGAGGATGAGTCCCTGTATACGGGGTGGAGTCGAAACGTGGGTGTCCTTGAGCTTGGAAAGAAGGCAGAGTGCGACGGCGCCGCCGAGTGAGTGCCCGTAGAGCACTATGTGGGCGCTGGGGAAGCGGGCGGCGGCGTGGTGCAGGACGGTGGTGTAGTCTGAGAGGATGCCGGCTTGGGAGGGGTGCTTTGGGGTGGAGGTCCAGTATGAGCGCGGCGCGACGGCGAGGATTGCTGGGTTGATATTGGGCAGACGCAATGCAGAGAGGAGGGCTTGGAAGACAGGAAGGCGATGGAGGGGGTTCCCTGCGTTGCCTACGTGAAAAGGATATTGAATTCATGTGGTAGAAAAGCTATGTTCGAGAACGGACCTTGAAAGTATATCGCGACAAGGTTTGGAGTTCCGCTCTGGCCTTTTGGGCGGACGATGAGGCCGGAGAGACGTGCACTGTTGTCTGAACTCTGTATCCGAATTTCTTCGCAGTCTAGGCCTTGAAGATATTGCGATGGAACGTCCTGCAGTCGTTCCTTACGCGCGCCCAGCGGTGCATAGCCTAGCACACGAGATGTATGAGTCTTTTTATGCAGTTGAACGACGCCGCAAGAATATAACGCACCCATGTAGATTATCTTGCGCTGGAATACAATCATCATGAGACACTACATCCGTGCACCCGTGCGTCAATGACACATTCATTTGTTGAAGAGGCTGCCTTGAACCTTGTAAGCCCACAGAGCGGCTGGAAGTCCTAGTAAGATCGACCCCACAACGAGCAGAGATGGAGGCTCGGGCAGTCCTGTTGTCGCGTGCAAAGGGAGCAGTCCTATGAGATTTCTTGCCCGGTCAGAGCGAAAGGACCGGGAGGAAATGCCAGCGGGGGAAGTGCGACAGCGCCTATGGAAGACGATATTAGTGTGGCGCAATAGGCGCGACGCCATCTTAGGTCAATGGTAGGCAACTTCAACTTCGTGAAAGTTGACTGAACTCCATCGGACTCGGGAGTCCATTGATCCACTGAAGCTCCGCGTGGAATGCCACGTGGGACGGATCACCTGCGAATCTATTCCAATATTGAATTTTGACTTACACTTCCGCGTTAACTCCGGTATGGTGTAACGGCTAACATTGCCGCCTTTCATGTAAATAGGCCTCCTGGGTCGCGGCAGCTCGGGGTTCGATTCCCCGTACCGGAATTTGATTAGGCTTAGCCTTGTTTTTGTTGCCGAGATTCGTCAAGCTCAAAATCCAATTTTCCATGCAAACTGCGACTAAGCGTGCTACTCCTAACGCTCCTTCCCACCGCGATGTCCTTGACGATGACCTCGACGAAAAGCTAAAGCCCAACTATGATTCTCTCGTCGTTGACTCACTGTAGCCCACTGTGTCGTCTACTCTTCTTCCTCGACGTCTCTTCACTCAGCATCATCTGGATCGAGCAGTACTCCCATCACTACTAGATTTTTGGCAGATTTCAGCCGCTCAAGCTCTCATTCCATTCGGCATCTTCTACACACCGCACGATTCTTTGAACTTAAAACGTCGGCTGTTACAATGAACCGACGGTGACCCGTGCACTATCGCCGTTCAACTATTTCCTCAGGGGGGACCTGGAGAATGAGTCCAGCTGTTCTGTGTGAGGCGAAGACCAGAATATATCTTCGTCCCAATGTGACAGACGATTGGCCACTGCTACTTCCTGACGCTGCCTACATTCCTCAGAATCCCTGCGGCGCAAACAATCTTTTACTCTCTCGTGACAGCGATTCAATTGAAACTTGGCTCTGCCAGATCACAAATTGAAAGGAAGGCCAAGAACTTGAGGACGATGACATTCCTTCTTCTCTGATTTGGACGAAATGCGTGCCCGTAAGTAGTGTATTGTGTGCCATATCTGCCGACCGACTTACTCTGATTGATGTCAGGCCTACATAAGCATCTCGGTTTCATATCATTGCCGAAGTGCACTTCTCGTGGAAGGCATTCTGTCGTTCGACTAGAGGAGCCTGTGTACTATGCATCGGAAAGGTTTGCAGCAACCTGTAGTCATGTTCCGTCTCAGTCGCGTTGACCAAAGGCCAATTTCGCGTCAGAAGTCTCCGGTACTGCATCGCACCGATCGCAACCATTCGGCATAACAGCAGATCACACCACCAAACTTGTCGACGGTCGAGGGAGGAACTGAAGGCCGGTTCTGACCTCACCACTTTCAAAATGGACACCCGAGACGACCGGTATGGTATAAAAGCTGAGGCATTTGGGGTAGGTAAAAGCAGGGAATTCACTGTTGACCCACTGGGCCCCTACTCGAGTAGCAATGCTCCGCATCAGCACACTATTCACCGCGCTTTCGCTTCTCACTGTCGTGCAGGCAGTTGAGTTGGGCCCCGTCTCCGACATCGTCCTCTCAAATAAGATCCTGAACCCTGATGGCCGTGAACGCAGGTGAGTCGGAGCTTCTTGCTTTAGTGGATCGCTGACACATCGTTCAGCACCGTCCTGGCTGGTGGAACGCATCCCGGGCCTGTTATCAGAGGAAAAAAGGTATTGATCCATTTCAGCAGATATGCCTCACGCAGTAATTTGGCGTTTTCAGGGAGATCGCTTCCAGCTGAATGTCAAGAATGACTTGACCAACCGTGATATGGAACTGAGTGCTACAATCGTGAGTATTCCTAATTTCACAGCCTTGCTCTATTTATGCTAAGCGATTTGTGTAGCACTGGCATGGTATCTTTCAGAACGGAACGAGCCCCTCGGACGGAGCGGCATTCGTAACGCAATGCCCTATCATCCCCGGCCGCTCATTCCTCTACGATTTCAGCGTCCCTAACCAGGCCGGAACGTACTGGTATCATTCTCATATGTGTGCGTCGAGGTGTGTATTTTTTGTGAACGAATCATTTCTGACGTCCAGGACTTGCAGCGACCCAGTACTGTGATGGACTTCGTGGAGCGTTTATCGTCGAGGACCCAAAAGATCCTTACAAGAACTCATACGACTTTGACAATGGTTTGATCCCTCCCCCTTCTACCAAGGAAATTTACATGTTCCTGACTAAGAGTTTCATCTGAGGCGACCGTTATATCTTTGACCGACTGGTACACTAAGGATTGCCTTTTATCCAATTCCTGAAGCTGACGTTCGTGCTTGCTACCAGGTTCCATGTCCCAGCTCGAGAAGCTCTGAACGAGCGTGCCCAATCCACCCTAATCAACGGGCGCGGGCGCTATTCCGGAGGCCGCGCCGTTCCCCTCTCCGTCATTAGCGTCCAAAGGACTAAGCGCTACCGCTTCCGCATCATCAACATGGCATGCTCCGCTGCTTTCACCTTTGCCATTGATAAGCATACCCTCACGATCATCGAGGCCGACGGCGAATACACGCGGCCTCTCACCGTCGACTCCCTCGAGATCTTCGCAGGCCAGCGCTATTCCGTCATCTTCACCGCAGACCAGGCCGTCGGTAACTACTGGCTGCGCGCGAACCCCGACCGTGGCAACCCAGGGTACGATGGCGGGAGGAACCAGGCCATCCTCCGGTACATCGGTGCTCCTGCGGCGGATCCAACAACCGTGCTCAATGTGAAGAACCCGCTGAAAGAGCAAGATCTCCATGCGTTGGTAGATGCGCGCCCGCCTGGCAACCCGCGGGTTGGCGGTGCAGACGTTAACATCAATCTTGTGCAGAGTTTCAACGATACCCTTTTGCGCTTCCAGATCAACGGAGAAGTCTTCGAGCCGCCCACGGTTCCTGTGCTCCTTCAGATCTTGAATGGCACTCGTAAGCCTCAGGAGCTTCTCCCGAAGGGAGCGGTCATTCCACTTCCCCGAAATCAGGTCATCGAAGTTTCTATGCCGGCACTCCCCAGCACGAGAAACGGACCCGTACGTGTCTTTGAACATGCTGATATGGTTCTGAAACTGATTGTGGTCTTGTAACAGCATCCTTTCCATCTCCACGGGGTATGTACCGCGATACCTACGAATAAGTATCTTGTTACTGACAATGAGTGTACAGCACACGTTCTGGGTTGTGCGCAGCGGTGACAATGATACTTACAACTATGTGAACCCCGTGCGCCGTGACACTGTCAGTACGGGTCTGCAAACCACCGCGCCGAACACTACTATCCGTTTCGTCACGGATAATTCTGGCCCATGGTTCCTTCACTGGTACGGAGTCGCCGATCTCCCCGTTCATTCACATCTCTAACACTGTTCTTGCAGCCATATTGACTGGCATCTCGAGCTGTGAGTGTTCTTTATTTGTGGTCATTATCACGATTGACGAGAACCTAGTGGGCTTGCTGTCGTTTTTGCTGAGGATATCCCTGGAATTGCGCAGACGAAGACCACCGGTAAGCGGCCTTGGTACTTTCATCATTTGATACTTTCTTAAGTCTCATTTCGTCACGCGTGTTACTAGCCCAATGGAAGGAGCTCTGCCCGCTTTACGAGGCTTGGAAGTCAAAGCAGGGGGTGCAGTAGTTCTAGTTTATCAGTAGCTTCTTACAGTGGCACCTTTGACTTCATCGCATCAACATAACTAATGGACTAAATTCGAATATTGAGGCGTCGACGTCATCAAGCATTATTGATGCACAGGTATTGAAATAACAAGTCGACTCCTATTAACCTAAGACAAATTTCACTCCTTACCACGCACTGTCACCTTCCCTATAGCATCCATCGCGCCGGTCATTTAATCACACACACTGCTACTCCACACCATCCAGAAGATTCTCAGCAGTGCCATGGGAGTTTTCTCGAATTCTCGTACTGAGGGCGCAGCGAAATCGCCGTTTATGAATAAGAAGAAACTCAAGGAAATGCGCGATGCGGAGATCGAACAGGAGTACTCGACTATGGATGAGCTGAATGAACCAGTCCTCGAGCTGCGTGAGGAGGTGGGCGAGGTGAAAAGCCATGTGGGTCGCATGAAGGATGGCGTGGAGACGCTGGTCAACGACACGGAAGCGATGAAGGGCGATGTGGGAGGCATCAAGAGCGACGTGAGAGGGATGAAGGATATTGTGGACCGCATTGTCGACGGCCTTGGCGGCGTGGATGGTGGGCAGGTTGGAAACATCGTGGAAAAAATCACCGACGACACAGTGGAAACGATAATGAGTGAGGTAAAAATCACCGACGACACAGTGGAAACGATAAGGAGTGATATAGAATGGACCATGAAGCGCTTCCGCGACGATATCAGGGATGAGATTGCTAAGAATCAGAAGGCGACGCAACGCGCCATCCGGGAGCAGTTCGAGGGCCGCATCGAGGATTATTGCAAACTGGCGCTCGCTCCGCACTTCAAGGTGCTCGAGGATCGAATGGACGTGCATTTCCAAGGCTTGGCTGCGCGACACTTCGGGGATGGCCAGCCAAGCCTCAGGGAAGGGGATGATTCCGCGAATTGTCGAGGCGGAGCCGATGAAGACCGGAACGACAAGGCTGACGCGGAAACTAGGGAAGACATCCTGCAGAATTCGCGTGGCGAGATTGGGGATGGGAGCGAGAAGGTGAAGAGATGGCGACCGAGCTCAAGCGCGGGGATGACGGGTTGGAGGACGTGACGCATTTGAACTTGAGAGAGCGGGTCGAGAGACTCGAAGGGTGGGTACGCATGATGAACCAGGTACGTTCGCCAGCTCGGTATCGCCGACCTTCATTAATGACTTTCTACATCCAGTCGGATGGCACCCACAAGCAAGTTGGCACAGATCTCTCTGGCGCGCAAAAGACCCTCGGTTCCGCCCAGATCATTGAGCGTGTACAAGAGCGCCAGGAGGCTACTGGCACTAATACAGAGTCTGAGCCCTCGAATTGGTTGACGACAGGACGTCAAAAGCCTGAGTTCCGCGGCCCTCCCAAATCGCCCAGGTGGTCTTCGACTTTGACGCGCGCGTGGGGATATGCAAGGAGGCATGTGCGAGTTCTGTGAGATGATCTTTTTGTTGAGGTTCACATCGGGTGGCCCCATCTCGTCTCTGGTGGAAAAGTCTATTGCCATAGAGTGGCCCGTAATGTAATTGAGTAGAGTTGTAATAACACACACCCCATCTCCAGTAATTGCAAATACATTTTGACGAGAAAGCAGCAGAGAAGGCGAAGCCGTGCTAAAGAAAAACAGGGACGAGCTCCAGACTCCAAGAAGCGTGAACTCGGCGTCGAAGAAGTCGCAACGTAC